ACACAGAACCAGAGAGAAGAGTTGGTGAAAAATAGGAAGAAAGACAGCAGGGCCTTGATGTACATTTTTGGTGCAATTGATCCAGCAGTCTATGAGAAGATTGCACATGTCTCTACATCTAAGGAGGCATGGGATGTGTTGATCAACAGCTATATTGGAAGAGAGAAGGTGAAGAAGGTACGGTTGCAGACCATGAGAAGACAGTTTGAGCTACTGCAGATGGAGAAAAAAGAAACCATCTCTGATTATTTCACACGCACCTTGTCCTTGGCTAACCAAATGAAAGCCAATGGTGAGGATATGAAAGAGCTACTGATTGTGGAGAAAATACTTCGAACCTTGACAGACAGGTTTGAAGGCAAAGTTACAGCTATTGAGGAGACACGTGACCTTAGTACTTTGACAGTTGATGAGTTGCAAGGTTCACTGCAAGCTTATGAGCAAAGATTAAATGAGAAGTCAGAGATTGGGAATGAAGAAGCGTTGAAGGCCCAAGTGAACGTGAAAAAGGAAAAGAATGACTCTAAGAATGAGGAGTCCTGCAATGAAGCAAGATCAAATGGCAAGAATCATAACTCAAATTATAGAAGGGGACAGAATAGATTTGAAAACAGAAGAGGAAGAGGCAGAGGAAGAGGAAGAAGCAACAATTGGAGCCAAGCCCGTGATAGCAACAGTTGGAGCCAAGCTCGTGATAAATCTAATGTTCAGTGTTTTAACTGCCAGAAATATGGCCACTACAAAAGTGAATGCAATTCTCAGAGGTTTGAAAATAAGGGGCATCATGCTAAGGTTGCAGAAGATGGAAAGAAAAATGAAGAAACTTTGTTGCTGAGACAGAATAGATTTGAAAACAGAAGAGGAAGAGGCAGAGGAAGAGGAAGAAGCAACAATTGGAGCCAAGCCCGTGATAGCAACAGTTGGAGTCAAGCTCGTGATAAATCTAATGTTCAGTGTTTTAACTGCCAGAAATATGGCCATTACAAAAATGAATGCAATTCTCAGAGGTTTGAAAATAAGGGGCATCATGCTAAGTTTGCAGAAAATGATAAAGGCAATGAAGAAACTTTGTTGCTGGCTTTTAATGCTGTAAGTGATGATGAGAAAAACAAGTGGTTGTTGGATACTGGATGCAGTAATCATATGTGTGGGCACAAGGATTTGTTCAGTGATTTGAATGATTCTGTGCAGTCTGTGATCACATTTGGTGATCAAACAAAGATTCCAGCCAAAGGAAAAGGGAGAATCAGTATCAGGCTAAAGGATGGCTCGTCCAATTCCATATCAGATGTTTATTACGTGCCTGGTTTGCGGCACAATTTGTTGAGTTTGGGACAGTTGTCAGAGAAAGGATATGACATCCAAATTGTCAATGGAGTTTGCACCATCCATGCTGCCAATCATAGACTAATAGCAAAGGTAAAAATGACACCAAACCGGCTGTTTCCATTGTATCTCAGTTACTGTGAATTACCTTGTTTCAGCTCAATGATGGTTGATGATAACTGGCTATGGCACATGCGATATGGACATTTAAATTTTAACAGTTTAAATCTCCTTGCTCAGAAAAATTTGGTATTTGGCTTGCCTCATATCTCTGTGCCTAATGATTTATGTGAGACTTGTGTTCTTGGTAAAAAGCATAGAGACAGTTTTCCTAAAGGAAAAGCCTTTAGAGCTCAAAGGCCTCTTGAAGTGATACACTCTGATCTGTGTAGTGTTGAGACAACCTCACACGGTGGTGGAAAATATTTCATTACATTTATTGATGATTTCAGCAGGAAGACTTGGGTGTATATCTTAAAGAACAAATCTGATGCTTGTGACACTTTCAAGAAGTTCAAGGCCTATGTTGAGAAACAAAGTGATGAAATGATAAAAATATTGAGAACTGACAGAGGCCAAGAATACATAGTCTGTGATGAGTTTTTAGAGAAGAATGGGATTAAACATCAATTGACAGCCAGGTATACACCTCAGGAAAATGGTGTGGCTGAGAGAAAAAACAGAACAATTATGGATATGGTGAGATGTATGCTGAAATTGAAGAATCTGCCTAAGTGTTTTTGGGCAGAAGCTGTAGCTTGTGCTGTGTATATTTTGAATAGGGCTCCTAGCAGAAGTGTGAATGGAAGAATTCCTTATGAAGTTTGGAGTGGCAGGAAGCCAAATATTCAGCATCTTCGTGTGTTTGGATGTATTGCTTATTCCCATGTCCCAGATCATATTAGAAAGAAACTTGATGAGAAGGCAGAAAAATGCATTTTTATTGGCTACAGCACAGTCACAAAAGGCTACAAGCTTTATAATCCAAAGACAGAGAAGGTTATAATCAGCAGGGATGTCACTTTTTATGAGCAAGGAACTTGGGATTGGTCCTTGAATGAAAGCAGACCTGCAACATATTTTCCAGCAGCTGATAATTATCATTTTGGAGATGATCAACAAGTAAATGAACCAGAAATTCAACAAGAAGTTGAGCCAAGAAGGTCAACACGTGAGCATCGATTGCCATCTCGCTTCCAAGATTATCAAATGACAGGAAATGTTGCCTCAGATGAAGAAATTGTGAATTTTGCCTTATATGCAGATTGTGATCCTCTATCATTTGAGGAGGCATGTGAACATGAACACTGGATCAAAGCAATGGGTGAAGAGATTTATGCAATTGAAAAGAATGACACTTGGGAGCTTACTTCTCTTCCTGAAGGAAACTGTTTCTAGGCTTGATACTATTAGAATTGTTATTTCTCTTGCTGCCCATAATGCTTGGATGATATTCCAAATGGATGTAAAATCTGCATTTTTGAATGGAACCTTGGAAGAAGAGGTTTATCTTGAGCAACCAGCAGGTTATGTAAAACAAGGGCAAGCTGACATGGTGTGTAAGCTGAAAAAGGCTTTGTATGGCCTTAAACAAGCTCCAAGGGCATGGTACACCAGAATTGATTCTTACTTCATGGAACATAAATTTCAAAGGTGTCCATATGAACATACTTTGTATGTCAAAAATAATCAGCAAGGGGATATTGTTATTGTCTGTCTGTATGTGGATGACTTGATAATTACAGGAAATAATATGAGATTGGTTGCAGAATTCAGGGAGGCTTTAGCATCTCAATTTGAGATGACAGATATGGGGCTGATGTGTTATTTTCTTGGTATTGAGGTGAAACAAACTGAGCAAGGGACTTTTATTTCTCAAAGAAAGTATGCTGGTGACATCCTCAAACGTTTTAGAATGGAGTCATGCAAGCCAATTTCAACTCCAGTTCAAGAAAGATTGAAGCTACAGAGAGATGGAGCTGGAAATTTGGTTAATCCAACATTTTTCAAACAGTTGGTTGGTAGCTTGCGTTATTTGACTGCTACTAGGCCAGATATCACATTTGGTGTTGGGTTAATTAGTAGATTTATGGAAACTCCAAGACAGTTACATATGCAGGCAGCAAAAAGAATTCTGAGATATGTCAAAGGAACTCAAAGTGATGGTATTTTCTATTAAGCTAATTGTCATGTGAAGCTTGAAGGATACACGGACAGTGACTGGGCTGGTGATGTTGATAGTGCAAAAAGTACTTCAGGCTATGCATTTCATATTGGTTCTGGAGTAATTTCTTGGTCATCAAAGAAGCAGCAAGTTGTAGCCCTTTCATCTACTGAAGCAGAGTATATTGCAGCCACAAATTCTGCTACACAGGCAGTATGGTTGCGCCAATTACTTGGTGATCTTCATCATGAACAGAAGAGCCCCACAACAATTTATTGTGACAATAATTCAGCAATTGCATTGGCAAGGAATCCTGTTTTTCATGGGAGGACTAAACATATACCTGTGAAGTTCCACTACATTCGTGATTTGGTAAATGACAAGGTGGTTGAAGTCCAATATTGTCCAACTGGAGAACAGATTGCAGATATATTTACAAAGGGTCTCAGGATGGATGCGTTCATGAAGCTGAAGAAGATGATGGGAATGCAGAGTTATGATGAGCTTGGTTTAAGGGAGGCTGTTGAAAGTTAAACCAAGCAGGAATCCAAAGTTACTTTATCCATTTTGTAAAAGCATGTGAGCATGCTGTAGGCTAGACTTGTTTGTTTATTAACTCAATAGGGTATTTTGTTTTACCCTATAGGCATGATGTCGGTTGATGTCCTCTAGGGAACTTTTCTCTTTTGACTAAAAGTTTGTCTCTCAAAGAGACGTTGGTCTCTTGTTTTGTAATGAGAGTGTTGTTGTAAAAACTATTATTATTGAATGTGAACTCATCAGATGAAAAAAGCCTTTCTTCCATATTCTCTCTGAGTTTCAAGCTAGAGTCTTCTTCCTTCTATTCTCTTCCGTGTCTGTGAGTTTTTACTTGCTTGCTGTGTTGTTTGGTTGTTTGTTTGTGAGTTAGCTGCCGTGAGTTTTTTTTAGTTTATTCTACAGTGAAGCTGCCAGACCAGTTGAATTTTGGGGTCAACAATAGCACTAGTAACAACTGATGTGAAGCAGAGTGCTTAAAGAATTGTTCTTGTGTAGCTTATGCTAATACAGTTATCATTAATGGAGGCAGCAGCTGTTTGATGTGGTTTGGCGACCTAGTTGATCTGCGAGAATTCGTTGAAGAAGATAGTCAGCAAGATATATACATTCGGCTGCCACTTCCAGAACTAGGTAAGTGACTATTTTGCTTTAGTAATGTTAGCTCCTGATCTTATAAAGTCAAATCCTTAATCCTGAAGACGCAGTACATAAGGTTTTAGGAATGCACTAGTAATGTTCAGGTCATCAAATATGTAGATTTCGTGCTTTCAATTGTAAGTTGAAAGGCTCAAATTGAAAAGGTCAAAAGTAGTGTACTTTGTGCATGTTTCAAAGTGGAAAGACATCATACCAGAAGAATGTGCTGTGTAAAATTTACCAAAGAAATCAGAATACTAAATATTGTGGTTTAGCTTATTAATGTTTTATTGTATATGATCTTCAGGGAAGACCAGTAGGAAGGATAAAAGAGTAGTAATCATCTCGGTCATATCTGCAGTTTCTTCGTTTCTTTTTCTGGGTTTGTCTTTCTGCTATATAATTCTGAAGAAGAGACGAAAGAGAAGAGGTAAGAATGCGCATATGGTGACCTTGCTAAGTTTCCAAGATGGGTAATATATTAATTCATTTTAATTGCTTTGTCTTTGTCCTAAATTTTCTTTTTGTTTTGTCATTTTACAGCTTCAAGAGGCACTAAGGAGGACTTGGAGTTGCCACTGTTTGACTTCGATACAATTGCAGCCGCCACCAATAACTTCTCCCACACAAATAAACTTGGAGAGGGAGATTTTGGTCCAGTTTACAAGGTAACAGACCGATAGTTGACGTCGTTGTGTGAGAACTTATGAGCTGACATATTTATACTAAAATTTCAGGCCAAGCTATCCCGAGAAGAATTCAGAGCAGTAAAGAGACTCTCAAAAGATTCTGGTCAAGGTATTAAAGAGTTTAAGAATGAAGTTGCAATGATAGCAAATCTTCAACACTGGAATCTTGTTAAACTTTTGTGCTGCTGCATCCAAGAAGAAGAAAGGATGCTGATCTATGAGTACATGCCCAACAAAAGATTGGACTGCTTTATTTTCGGTAGGAGATTTCTTCCTTCATGTTTCGGATTAATTATGTAACTTGAATTTTATTGAGATATTTAGTCAAATACCCGTTCTTAGTACTAAAATTATAAATAAACCCTACATCATTTAATTTCTATAAATAAACCCAAAAATTTGATTATTAAATTACTTTAATGACCTATTGAGTATTTTGGGCTTGTTTATATGTTTTGGGGTTGGGTTTGTTTTGAGAAATCAATGGCATTTTTGTAATTTAAAAGAAGTTAAAAGCCTTGTTGCTATGTTATAAATGGGCTTTGGGTATGTTTCTAAAGTTCATTTCATATTAGGTATTTTTATAATTTAGGCTCATATATTGGGTATATTAGTGAATCTCCCAATTTTATTTCACTCCTTTCTAGTGAAATGTATGCTATTAAACAGAGCTGACAGGGGAGGAAAACTGAACCAAACGAACTCATGTGATGGCTAACTTGTGCAGATCAAAATGGAAAGGTGTTGCTGAATTGGCCAAAGCGATTGGACATTATCATGGGAATTGCTCAAGGACTTCTCTACCTCCACCAAGACTCCAGATTAAGAATCATTCACAGAGACCTTAAGAGAAGCAACATCTTACTTGATGATGAGCTGAACCCCAAAATATCTGACTTTGGCATAGCAAGGATTTTCGGGGGCAATCAAGCTGAAGCAAAAACAAAACGAGTAATCGGGACATAGTGAGTTGTACAAACATTTCACCAATGCCGTCATGTTCAGTTATAATCTAGTACTTAAATTATGTTTTTTAAATTGCAGTGGATATATGTCTCCTGAATATGCAATTGATGGGAAATTTTCCGTAAACTCCGATGTTTTTAGTTTCGGGGTGCTTTTGTTAGAGCTAGTAAGCGGCAGAAAGAACAGGGGATTTCATCATCCAGATCACCATCATAGTCTTCTGGGACATGTCGGTATTTTTTATTGGTGTTTGCTAATGTTAGACCATAGTTTTCCATGTGAATGACCAAAAGACACATAATTTCCAGGCATGGCTATTGTGGAACAAAAACAAGGAGTTGGAACTAATGGATGAATGCTTAGAGGACTCATATGTTGAGTTTGAGGTACAAAGATGCATTCAAGTGGGTCTATTATGTGTTCAAAAGATGCCAGCAGACATACCAGCAATGTCATCGGTGGTGTTCATGTTGGGCAACGAGGGAGCAACATTGCCTCAACCAAAGGAGCCTGGTTTCTTCATAGAAAGAAGCATCGCCGACATTGATACCTTACTTGGTGAAGTTAGAAGCCACACTAGAACCACAATCACCATTACCGCTATGGAAGCCAGATAAATTGATGTATTTGCAAAGTAACAGGCAAAGAAAGAGGTTGGCCTCAATACATGAGAGGAATTGAGAATTGTATCAAATTATTATTTCCACAGTGATATGACACGAACATGTAGTTGCTCAAAGTGGACCCTTAGAACGGAGGGCGTAATTGTGGCCTCGTTAAAACCTTGCCATTAAGTGTAGTCCATGGCTATAAATTTAGCCTTCTAAAATATTAATTTTTTAAAGAATAGTGTAAGGCTAAATTTTTCCATCTATAGTTATGCATGGCTATATTTTAATAATCTAGTACTTAAATTATGTTTTTTAAATTGCAGTGGATATATGTCTCCTGAATATGCAATTGATGGGAAATTTTCCGTAAACTCCGATGTTTTTAGTTTCGGGGTGCTTTTGTTAGAGCTAGTAAGCGGCAGAAAGAACAGGGGATTTCATCATCCAGATCACCATCATAGTCTTCTGGGACATGTCGGTATTTTTTATTGGTGTTTGCTAATGTTAGACCATAGTTTTCCATGTGAATGACCAAAAGACACATAATTTCCAGGCATGGCTATTGTGGAACAAAAACAAGGAGTTGGAACTAATGGATGAATGCTTAGAGGACTCATATGTTGAGTTTGAGGTACAAAGATGCATTCAAGTGGGTCTATTATGTGTTCAAAAGATGCCAGCAGACAGACCAGCAATGTCATCGGTGGTGTTCATGTTGGGCAACGAGGGAGCAACATTGCCTCAACCAAAGGAGCCTGGTTTCTTCATAGAAAGAAGCATCGCCGACATTGATACCTTACTTGGTGAAGTTAGAAGCCACACTAGAACCACAATCACCATTACCGCTATGGAAGCCAGATAAATTGATGTATTTGCAAAGTAACAGGCAAAGAAAGAGGTTGGCCTCAATACATGAGAGGTGAATTGAGAATTGTATCAAATTATTATTTTCACAGTGATATGACACGAACATGTAGTTGCTCAAAGTGGACCCTTAGAACGGAGGGCGTAATTGTGGCCTGGTTAAAACCTTGTCATTAAGTGTAGTCCATGGCTATAAATTTAGCTTTCTAAAATATTAATTTTTTAAATAATAGGGCTATATTTTAGGGTCCTTCATATTTTATTATTTTTAAAAAAACTATAATACAACACTCATACATTTCACAACTATATATTGTTTAATTTAATTAAACTACTATTTAGAGACAATATTCCATATATGATAAGTATACGTTGATAACATTTAAAAAGGCTATTTAAAAAAAAATTTATATCCTAACGGCTAGCTAACGTCAACGATGATGTCAGCACGACTTTAATATTGGCTGTTGGATATGCATTTGCATAAGATGTTTCGTGCTCTTGCCCACACTTGATAATTTCTCTTCTTAAAAAGCACATGCATAAGGCTCACAAAAAAATTTGGCCTAGGCCAAAGCTGGGCTATAATTAGTAGGGTTGGAGAGCTAAAGGGCCAAGTGTGGCCCTCCAAATTTGGCCAAAATTTTTTTTAGCCCATTGTTGGTAAAAACCCCAAAGAAAGAAAATCCGATAAAACAAAAAAAGTACCACCGCACCTCAAATAAAACATTCAAGACTCTACTCCAACATTCTACCTTATGTAAAGATATGCTAAGCCAAGGGGGAGCACTGTCTGTCCAGAAGAACCGTGACCTCTCCCTTAACTTGTGCTTGATTTGATGGAAGGGTCTTGTTATATATAATTAGGCTTAAGTGCTACAGTGCCCCTTTAAGTGCTACATTGGTCAATTCCCACTAAACCCCCTTAAAGTTAAAGTGATCTACTTTGCCTCATTGACTGATGTTTTGTGTCTCACTTTGCCCATCACCGTCAAATCTGTTAAAAATTCCGTTAAAAATGCTGATGTGGCACTAATGGAACCCACTTTTTTGCTAAACTAAGTGCCATGTGTGAAGAAAAAAAATTAAAAATTAAAAATTATCTTTTAAAAAACTTAATTTAACTATTAAAAATAAAAATAATACTTTAAAACCAAAAATATCCCCAATTCCCCTCCTCCAACCACATTATCCCTTATCGAGAAATTAAATAAACAAAAAAACAAGCTTAATCAATCCTACTTGGAAAAGTAACAAAACTTGTGACCTCTCCCTTAACTTGTGCTTGATTTGATGGAAGGGTCTTGTTATATATAATTAGGCTTAAGTGCTACAGTGCCCCTTGAAACATTGGTCAATTCCCACTAAACCCCCTTAAAGTTAAAGTAATCTACTTTGGCTCATTGACTGATGTTTTGTGTCTCACTTTGCCCATCACCGTCAAATCTGTTAAAAATTCCGTTAAAAATGCTGATGTGGCACTAATGAAACCCACTTTTTTGCTAAACTAAGTGCTATGTGTGAAGAAAAAAAATTAAAAATTAAAACTTATCTTTTAAAAAACTTAATTTAACTATTAAAAATAAAAATAATACTTTAAAACCAAAAATATCCCCAATTCCCCTCCTCCAACCCCATTATCCCTTATCGATGCAAATTAAATAAACAAAAAAACAAGCTTAATCAATCCTACTTGGAAAAGTAACAAAACTTAGAGCTCTTTTTAGTATGAGAAAACGATATTGAAGGATTTTTTTTGCTGGGAACAAAGAAAATTGTGGGGTTTAAATAGAAAATCTCTTTTATTTCTTATTTTTTTCAATTTGGGGTGTATTTAAGGGTAGTTTGGGAAGATAGTGGGGTTTTCTTAGAAATTGTGAAAATTTAAATTAAAAGATGGGGTGAACTAAGAGAAGTGTGGGGTTTAAATAGAAAATCTCTTTTTTTTTTCATCTCTGTTCCATCCGGTGCGTCCCCCAACTCAAACCCTCCGCTCGCTTCTCTTCCCACCACCGACTCTCTCTCTCTCATCTATCCCTCTCTTCTCCTGCAAGTTGCAAGCTGCAACTCAAATCCCCTCTCTTTCTCTCTCATCTCTCCCCCTCTCTCTTTCTAATTTCACTGGCTCTCTTTCTTTCTCTCTTTCTTCACGTCGGTGATATTGGAGGCTAATCTCCAAATATGATGTCAGCCAGCTCGAATATGGAGGCTGGCAAGGTTGCCGCCTCCATTGTTGTCGGCGTAACTCATGAGGAGAGAGAGGGAGAGGCGAGAGTGAGAGAGAAAAGATGCTGACAAAGATGGAGGAGGGGAGGGGGGCACAGAGGATGGATGATGGCGGTGGTGACGTTGCGGTGGAGGGCAGCACGGTGAGGGACAAAGTGAGACACAAAACATTAATTAAAAGTACAAAATGAGTCACTTTAACTTTAGTGAGATTTGACAATGTTTCAAGAAACAACGTAGCACTTAAGCCATATAATTATTACAACAAAAACTTTGTCAAAGAAATCTTTAAAGTGGCATAACAATCAAAAAGTCCAACAACCATTATGATAATTTTACTAGTCAGATGGCGGCTGCAAAGTCCAGACATAAAGGTCCGAAAAAACCGTTCTGGACAGAGAGAACAGAGATGAAGGGCCTTCCCTTCATCTTCTTTACCTCTCTGCTTCAGTTCTTAGTCTTACAGTTGGCCACAGCAGCTGAAACGATATCCCCATCAAAACCCATCATAGGCTCGGATACCTTGGTTTCATCTGGGCAGAGCTTTGAGTTAGGGCTTTTCTCTGCTAGTAATTCTTCCTGGTATTTGGGAATATGGTACAAGAATTTTCCAGATGTTGTTGTCTGGGTAGCCAACAGAGAAAAGCCACTTGCACATTCATATGGATCCTTGACACTGTCAAAAAATGGAAGTCTGGTCCTTTTAGATCAAATGAACAACTCTGTTTGGTCTTCCACTTCTTCCCAAGTAGCAGAAGATCCTGTTGCAGAGCTTTTGGAGACTGGAAACCTGGTTGTCAGAGAAAAGGCTGCCACAGCTTCCGAAATCTACATATGGGAAAGTTTCGATTTCCCATCAGACACTATGCTGCCAGGCATGAAGTTGGGGTGGAACTTCAGGACAGGCCACAACAGATTCTTGACTTCTTGGAAAAATGTTAGTGATCCATCTCCTGGACAATATACTTATGGGATGGATAATGTTCTGTTGCCTCAGCTTGTTATTGCTAAAGGATCAAAGAAACAGTTTCGTACAGGACCATGGACCGGTCTTCGATTTACAGGTACTCCTGGTTCACCAGTTTCCTACGAAGTTGTGCACACAATTTTTGTGTATAACACTACTGATCTATACTATTCATATGAGGCTGTTGATAAATCTATTGTCACAAGATTGAAGCTGAATGAATCGGGTATCCAGCGGCTAGTGGTCAACAAAGGAAGCACTACATGGGCTGTTATGTATACTTTGCAGAATAATCAGTGTGATAATTATGGAGTGTGTGGAGCAAATAGCATTTGTAAAATTAACAAATCACCTATTTGTGAGTGCTTGCATGGGTTTGTCCCGGAATCATGGAACGAATGGGGGGTGCTTAATTGGACAAGTGGGTGCAGGAGGGGAACACCACTGAATTGCCAGAAGGGAGAAGACTTTCTGAGAATTCGAAAAGTGAAACCGCCTGACCAGTTGGATTTTAGGGTGATCCCGAGCATTAGCATCGATAAATGCAAGGCAGAGTGCTTGAAGAATTGTTCTTGTGTAGCTTATGCTATATCAGATATCAGTAAGGGAGGTAGTGGCTGTCTGATGTGGTCTGGCGCCTTAATTGATATGCGAGAGTTCGATGAAGATGATAGTGAGCAAGATATATATATTCGGATGCCATTTTCAGAACTAGGTAAGACTGCTAAGTGAGTATTTTGCTTTAGTAAAGTTAGCCCCTGATCTTGTGAAGCCATGCGCTTAATCCTAAAGATTCTGTACATAAGGGATTAGGAATAACAGTTGCATAGACTTCGGAAGTCTGGTCCTTTTAGATCAAATGAACAACTCTGTTTGGTCTTCCACTTCTTCCCAAGTAGCAGAAGATCCTGTTGCAGAGCTTTTGGAGACTGGAAACCTGGTTGTCAGAGAAAAGGCTGCCACAGCTTCCGAAATCTACATATGGGAAAGTTTCGATTTCCCATCAGACACTATGCTGCCAGGCATGAAGTTGGGGTGGAACTTCAGGACAGGCCACAACAGATTCTTGACTTCTTGGAAAAATGTTAGTGATCCATCTCCTGGACAATATACTTATGGGATGGATAATGTTCTGTTGCCTCAGCTTGTTATTGCTAAAGGATCAAAGAAACAGTTTCGTACAGGACCATGGACCGGTCTTCGATTTACAGGTACTCCTGGTTCACCAGTTTCCTACGAAGTTGTGCACACAATTTTTGTGTATAACACTACTGATCTATACTATTCATATGAGGCTGTTGATAAATCTATTGTCACAAGATTGAAGCTGAATGAATCGGGTATCCAGCGGCTAGTGGTCAACAAAGGAAGCACTACATGGGCTGTTATGTATACTTTGCAGAATAATCAGTGTGATAATTATGGAGTGTGTGGAGCAAATAGCATTTGTAAAATTAACAAATCACCTATTTGTGAGTGCTTGCATGGGTTTGTCCCGGAATCATGGAACGAATGGGGGGTGCTTAATTGGACAAGTGGGTGCAGGAGGGGAACACCACTGAATTGCCAGAAGGGAGAAGACTTTCTGAGAATTCGAAAAGTGAAACCGCCTGACCAGTTGGATTTTAGGGTGATCCCGAGCATTAGCATCGATAAATGCAAGGCAGAGTGCTTGAAGAATTGTTCTTGTGTAGCTTATGCTATATCAGATATCAGTAAGGGAGGTAGTGGCTGTCTGATGTGGTCTGGCGCCTTAATTGATATGCGAGAGTTCGATGAAGATGATAGTGAGCAAGATATATATATTCGGATGCCATTTTCAGAACTAGGTAAGACTGCTAAGTGAGTATTTTGCTTTAGTAAAGTTAGCCCCTGATCTTGTGAAGCCATGCGCTTAATCCTAAAGATTCTGTACATAAGGGATTAGGAATAACAGTTGCATAGACTTCTTGCTTTCAAATTGTATGTTGCAAGGCGCA